GCCCGTCTTAGTCGGGCTCTAATCGCCCTGAGCGGCTCGGTGGTGAACAAGGGCAGTTTGTCAAGCTTAATCCCCCCGCCCTGGGGGCCCTTTGCTCCCCACCACGGCAGTCTGGCATGCGGGGGGCACCGGGGCTGGCGCGCACCCTGGCACCCTTGGCACGGTCGGGGGTTCTCACAGGCACCTGCCCAGCATGGAGTCCCCAGGGAGGGACGCTGTGGCCTGGGGAGACCTTTAGGGCTGGGGCTGTGTCAACCCCCAGTGGCACCATGGCCATGGCACCCCAGGGCTGGTGAAATCGGCGGGGGGGTAAGGATGGGGCTCTTTGGGCACCACTGGGCAGAGCCCAGCTGTGATGCCACAGCCGTGGGCATGGGCAGCAAGAGCTGTCCCCACGGCTGTCCCCAGGGCTGTCCCCAGGGCAGTCCGGCTTGGACCAGCCTGTGCCAGGCTCCGACTGGATCTTGACCTTCCTGGCAGGTGGTGACTCAGATGCACTGGGGAGAGCTCGGCAGCCCTCCTGCCTGACGTTTGCCCAGGCAGCTCCCAAAATCCAAGCGTGAGGCTGTGGGACAGGAGCCCACACACAGCCTCACCCATGAGCCACAGGCGGTTTCACGAACCTTGCTGCAGCCCAGAGGCCATGGGGATGGGCACCCTGTGGCGCCCAGGGCATGGGTGCTACCCCGCCCGGAGGAAAGGAGGGCAAAGTCTGCCAGCGCTGCCCACAGGCTCCTCCGCCCCGCATTGCCCAGCTGGGCTGGCCTCTCCGCCCACCCACTGTGGACACAGCACAGACTATGCGGTGGGTGCCCGGCGCAGCCGTGCCCTGACACTGCCCCGTGCCCGTGTGCCAGGTGGGCGAGTCTCAGCAGGGCTGGCCCCTCTTGTAGCAACCAGCTCAGGCTCTCGGCAAACTCAGGCAGCTGTGGGCACGGGTACCCCGCAGCGTCTCAGCCCCCGCTTCCCTGCCCACCTCCCCGGCCCTGCCTGTCTGAATGCCTTTGCCAGGGCAAAGTACTCATTTGCTGAGCCGCCCTGGGCACTGTCCCAAGCGGAGACCAGGGAGAAGCACCTTTGCCCGGGATGTCCAAGAGCCATAGGCAGCGGAGGGGCTGCGGGCACGGCAGGGAGGGAGGACACCCTGGGGACAGCTGGGCAGCTGGGTGCCAGTGGGGAGGCCTTGCCGGGGAAGGAGTCGTAAACATGGGGCTAAGGTTGCAGGCGGGGAAGATAGGCTATCTTGGGGGCAGAGGGCTGGAGACACACAGGGTAGGGGGTGAAGGGTGCCCGGGTGGTGCCTCTGGGAGCCCCCACAGGGCGGCCATCACCCCGCAGTGATGACGGGTTTTGGGGGGGGGATGAGGTGTGCGCGAAAGTCCTGCCCTGGGGTGGGGGCTCAGTTGGGCTCCTCCACCGCCGGGGCGGCTGCGGGGTGGCACCCCGGCCCCCGTGCCCTGCCCAGCCACAGCCCTGTGCCGGAACCCCAAACCGGGCACCGCGGGGCTCATTGGCACTGCCACCCTGAGCGGGGCAGCACCCCCAAACCGCCCACCTGCCCCCGGGCTGGGGGGGGGCCCCCCTGCCCCCGTGCCCTGCCCAGCCACAGCCCTGTGCCGGAACCCCAAACCGGGCACCGCGGGGCTCATTGGCACTGCCACCCTGAGCGGGGCAGCACCCCCAAACCGCCCACCTGCCCCCGGCGTGCCGCCAAGCCCAGTGCCCCCCCAGGTGACCGGTGCCCCCCGGTGCCCCCCCGGCGTCCCCCGGTGCTCCCGGTGCCCGGGCAGCCAGCGCCGGGCAGGGGCAGGGGGTGCCCGGCCGGGGGGCTCTGCCCTGCAGCGAGGGTCCCTTCCACCCACCCGTGGTCTTTGCCCGCCGGTTTCCCAGCTGAGGGTGGCACCCGTGGGCAGCCGATGGGTGATCGCGGGTACAGCTCCCTGTGGGACGCATCGCTCCCTCTTCCCACGGGCTGGCGTGGGGCTGGCACTGCCACTGTCCCTGCTTCCCCGTGGTTTCTCCCCCGTGGGACGTGGGCAGGGAGGACCGTGCTGGGGGCAGCGCGGGCAGCCAGCCCGCAGGCTCATGGCCATGCCTGGCTGGGGGTCAGATTTGGGGGGCAGAGCGCCTGTCTTGACGCTGAGAGGCACAGGGGGATCCGTGGATGCCCACGGGTGGCAGGGCACCTCGGCACTGTGGGGGCTCACCAGAGGTACCCCAAAGCTGGCAGGGAGCTCGTCCTTACCGTGGTGCCGTTCAGCGTCCCAGGACTGC